TAGGATTGAGAGAATTACTCTACTGATTGGCTCACAAGTTCTAAAGCCTTTTGTTAACTTTGTTGCGTATTTATTGAGTTATTTGGTTGGTTCGCAAAAGTTATTCCATCATTATATACATATATCCCATGATATTAATGAGAATATAATATGAATCTCGCACTGAAAAGTTTTCTAATTAGACCAATATATATATATATATATATATATATATATATATATATATGTGTGTGTGCAAGTATAGGATTGGTGTATACGGAATAAATTCCAGTAACCAACAAATACTATTCTTAAAAGAGTGCTCAATACAGAGTAGAGCGAATATGATTGTTTATTTAAAAATTATAACAGAAATATGTTATATTATATGTTATAATTTTTAAATAAATAATTATAACATATAATATAACATATTTCTGAATATCACTGAAAGGTTCTCGGTGTGAATCATTTCAAAGAAACCCTATGTTTTCGAGCAGTGGTTTCCAGAACCTTTCCTCATTTTTTCTGGTTTATCTGTATTTCTCTTTTATTGAAAATGCTCAATGTGAACATATTTTAATGAGGATTAATTAACTTTTCCTATTTGGCGGGAAAAGAACGCAAAATGTAGTTCAGGCGTCGTTAGATTCTGAACAATCTTTTGCGCTCTGTCGGTTTCAGCCATGTTTCTCGCCATCCAGAAATAACGCTAGAGATTAATCGTGTTTAAAGTTTTTAAACTCAGTATAATCGCATCTGCCAGTTACGCTGACGTCACGCGTCACGTGTTATACATGCAAAATTTATCACGTGTCTAAATGTCTCCATGTTTCAGTTGTTAACTATATTTAACTATCACAGTTCATATGCTAAATCGACTTGGGGGATATATATATATATATATATATATATATATATATATATATATATATATATATATATATATATATATATATATATATAATATATATATAAGCATATAATATATATATATAATATATATAAATAATATATTTATATATATATATATATATATATATATACACACACACACATATATATAAATTTATATATATATATATATATATAGAGAGAGAGAGAGAGATGCATATACTAAAATTTAAAATTACTTCATGGAATAACTTCTCAATAGTTAGCTAATCAGTTAAGATCAAACTACACACATTTGAGATGAAGTAAAGCTTACATAACACCTCAATGAGAGTGGCAATAAAAAAAGTTGCACACACACACACGCACACATATATATATATATATATGCAAATATGTATATATAAATAGGAAATAACCGTAAGGTTAATAATCCGAACTTCTTTAGTAGTTTTGTTTTATTTTTAAAAAACAGTGCTCAATACATAAGCAGAGCCTAAATTGTAATTATTTTTTGAAAATATGATTTCATCGCTAGATAAGAGTTCTCATGTTTCAAAATAGAAGGTAAAAACTTCATATTTCGTATATATATATGTGTGTGTGTGTCTGTGTTTGCCAATAACCGACGATATTTGCACATATATATATATATATATATATATATATATATATATATATATATATATATATATATATATTATATTTATAAAAAAAAAAATATAACATAAATATGTTATAAAATCACTACAAAAATAGCCATTTTGTTTCAACACCCTCAGTGTCTTATCAAGTGATGATGTTGAAGATAAAATAAATTTAGGTTTTATTCTGATTCAACATCATCTCTTATGTTATTTAATTATTTTTTATAAATAATAATTATATCTACTCTACTTTGTATGGAGCACTCTTTTAAGAATAGTAATTGTTGGTTATTGAAATTCATTCCGTATACACCAATTATATACTTGGGTATATATATATATATATATATATATATATATATATATATATATATATATATGTGTGTGTGTGTGTGTGTGTGTGTGTGTGTGTGCAGTTATACAAAGTAAGAGGTGGAGAGAGATTTGAGTGAGTTGTAGACGAGAAATTTCAAAGTGAAATGTACAATGAATAAGAACACTGGGAGAGAGAAGGAAAACTAGAGATAACAATACGAGGAGAGAGAAAAAAGCGAGAGATGAATGAGATGACAGAGTAAGGTTGAGAGAAGAGAGAGAGAGATGTAAATTATAGAGTGTGAGAAACCAACAGATAGAGGAAGAGAGTGAAAGCAAACACATAGCGAAAGACAGAAAATAATTTAATAGAGACCGTGTGGTAGACACAAGAGTAGGGAAGACGAGAAAGAGAGAAAGTTAAATGAGAGTGAAAAAAAAAAGGTGAATAAATGAAAGAGATAATCGCATAAAGAGAGAGTGAGAAAAAAGAATGAAGATACGAGAGAGGGGTAGAAACGATTGCATAGAGAGAATAAGAGAAAAAGCAAAAGGTAGAATTAGTAAGAAGTAATATTCTCTCAGGTTTCTCTCTCTCAAATATATATATATATATATATATATATATATATATATATATATATATATATATATATGTATGTGTGTGTGTGTGTGTGTGTGAAAAATGTGTGTATATAAATAAATTATTTATATATTATATGCATGGTACTTATTAAAAGCGCTCAATATCAGAGCGTGAAACCCAGGGTCACAAACTCACATAACTCCAACCACACACACACACACACACACACACATATATATATATATATATATATATATATATATATATATATATATATGTGTGTGTGTGTGTGTGTGTGTGTGTGTGTGTGTGTAGACATCTGAGAATAAATCATATTTATCTGTATCTCTCACTCATTTAAACCGTTATTTAACTCCTCACTTTAAAACTTCTCTCTTTTAAATTTTAGTCCCCACCTTCACATTTAGGCCTTTCCTATCCCTCTTTCTTAAATTACACCTCTCTCTATAGCTTTCATACATTTTCCTCTCACCCTTGTTTCTCACTCTCCCCCCCACACACACACACTCTCACTGAAATTATTTTTTTATTTTTTTTTTTTTTTTATACCCAGAGTAATATTTTCTATTTTCTTTTTGAATTTGTAGGTCTGATGAATTGGATCGTGATTACGATTCCAATGTAATAAATTATAACCATGGAATATTAGTGTTTGAGTCTTATATTATATTCTTGCTCTGCACTGTACATTGAACTTTACCTGGATTCTATCTTCTTGGAAATATCTATCTATCTATCTATCTATCTATCTATCTATCTATCTATCTATTGAGCACTAGATAGAGAGATAGAGAGAGTGAATCAGAGCGGTCGCGAATAAGGAGATTAGAGAGAGAGGGAGAGAGAGGGAAGTTAGCGAGATGAGAGAGAGTTCAAATGCGGAAAGGCAGCTTTTGAAAATGGCGCACAGAGAGAAAGATGGATTAAACAAAGACAGAGAAAAAAAAATTAGGAATAAGTAAACTGGGGAAAAACCATTCGCAACATTTTTTTTTTTTTTAATTTTGCGCGCACGACAATATCTTTGAAAATTCAAATTCAGAATTCAGCTTAGAAAGAGAAAATTAGTAAGAGGCGAAAAAAAAGAACACAAAAAAAAAAAATAACGAAAGAAAGAAGAGATCCTGGGTACTCGGGTACCAAATTAAATTCTTGAAATGGCATCAAAGATTCTTTGTTATCTTCCGTTTTATTTCTTGTTCGTTTTAGAAAATTTTCAAAGAACGAATCGACAGACATTGTTAAACAAAGCTGAAATAGCAGTCGGCATAAATCAAGAGAGACGTAATCGCAAAGTATGTGAGGAAGCAAAGAAAGGCGATAATGAATTAGGAAAAGAAGAATGGAAAACTGAAGAAGAAAATGAAGAAAGAACGAAGGAGGATGAGAAAAAAACTGAAAAGGAAAATAAAAGAAGGAAAGAAAAAAACAATGAAGGATGAAGAACATAAATTAAGAAAAGAATGAATGAATAAAGACGAGTAGAAGAAAGAAAGACAGAAAGAAGAAAAGGAAAGAAAGAAAAATATGACATGAAGAAGAGATAGAGGGGGAGGTAAAGAATGAATGAATGACAATAGAATGAATGATTTGAAAGAGAGTAGAGAATTAAAAGGTCATGAACTAAATAAAGAAAGAATGAAAGAAAGAAAGAAAGAAAGAAGAAAAAGAAAGAAGAAAAAGAAAGAAAGAAAAACTATGACATGAGGAAGAGATAGAGGGGGGTAAAGAATGAATGAATGACAATAGAATGAATGATTTGAAAGAGAGCATAGAAATAAAAGGTCATGCACTAAACAAAGAAAGAATGAAAGAAAGAAAGAAAGAAAGAAAACAAGTAACGGAAAGGAAAAACCGCAAAAAGGAATGAAACAAAAATATAACAAGAGAGCGAAGGTGGGGGAAGAATGAATGAAAGAAAGAAAATAGAGAAATAGAATGTTATAAACCAAAGAAAGAAAGAAAGAAAGAAAAGTATAGAAAAGAAAAAAGAAGAAAAAGAAAGAAAAATATGAGATAGGGAGGAGAGAGAGAGAAGGGCAAAGTATGAATGATTAGCAAAAAGAATGGATGATTAAAAGAGGAAAGTAAAGAAGAAAAGGATATAAAAAGTGACAAAGAAAGAAAAGAACGAAATAATAAAAGTGAGACAATGAAAAATAAAAGAAAGAAAGAAAAATAGATACATTTTCATAATAAAAGATAGAAAATATTAAGTAAAATCTGACATTTTTTTTCCACGGAAAGAAATCATGACTAAATTTAAAAAAAAAACAAAAAAAAAACAAAAAACAAACAACGAGAAAAAGAAGAAAGGAAAAAAGGGAATGGAGAAATCTGAGAAACGCCGCCATTGCGGGTAAGGGCATGTAACATTCAGTCGAAAAAGCTGCATTGAAAAGGACAAAAGTAAGAAAGATAAATATAATATAAAATAAAGACGGGAGAAACATTGGAGAGAAGGAAAACGAATTTCGATAAGAGTTTTTCTTCAACTCGTTTACAAGACAAAATATTAAAAAAGCAAGTTTCTTTAATATCTGCATATTTCTGTTCAAATGTTATTGTCTATGTCTTTAGACCGAGTTTCTTCTTGTTTTTCTTTCTTTCTTTCTCCTTTTTCCTTTCTTTCTTTCTTTCTTTCTTTCTTTCTTTCTTTCTTTCAGTTCGTAACTTCAGTCTTAGATTCTTTTATTTTGTTTAGCGCCTTTTTCTGTCATTTCAAACTTTTAATCAATATTTTCCGACGCTCTTTTTACTTTCCGTTCCTACTTTGTTTCTGTTTAAATCAATGTCTACTTTTTTCTTCTTTTGTTTTTGTACCTCAGCCATTCACTCAATCTAAAACGTTTCTTTTCTCCTTTTCAATCTTTTTTTTTTCTATTTTTTAACATCTCTCTCTTTTTCTCTTTTCTTAAATGGATCTCTTTAACGATTTTAATCTCATCTTTTTCTTTCAAACTCTTTTTCGTTTCTCCTTCTGCATTCTCCATTTTTCCACTTCTTAGTAATATTTTTTCTTTCATGAATTTATCCTTTTACCAATATTTTTATTCTCTTTGTCTCTCTCAATCTTATTTTTTCCATCATTTATTTGTTAGATTTGATTTTCCATCCGTTATTTCTTTTCATTACACTTTTTTTTTTAAATTTCACTTCACTATTATAATTTAAACTGATTCTGTTTCAAGTACAAGACTTTCTTCCTTTTCTCTTTTTCTTTCGACTTTTGTTTTCTTTCTTTTTTTTTATTTTGCTTTCTTCCATTTTCTTTCTATTTATTTTTCTTCTCTGATACGTTCTTCTTTCTCACTTAATTTCTTTCTTTTTTCTTCCTTTCTTTAATTTTTTTCTGTTTTTTTGGCTTGATTTTTCTTCTCGCTTTTTCACTTTTCTTTTGCCTATTTATTTGTTCTTTCTTTCTTTCTTTCTTTCTTTCTTTCTTTCAGTTTATTCCTTCTTTTCTTGTTCTTCTCTTTTTTCATTCTTTCTTTTTCCTTTCTTTATATTTCTTTTTTGTTTTTGTTTGATTTTTCTTCTCCCTTTTTCGCTCTTCCTTTTTGTCTCTTTTTCTTTCTTTCTTTCTGTTTATTTCTTGTTTTCTTTTACTTCTTCTTTTTTCATCTTTCTGTTTCTTTCTTTCTTTTTCTTGTCTATTTTTCATTTCGTTTTTTTTTGTCTATTCCTTTTTCTTCCTTTCTTTATTTCTTTTTTCAGTTTTTGCTTGATGTATCTTCTTTTTTACTCTTTCTTTTGTCTATTTTCTCTTTCTTTCTTTCTTTCTTTCTTTCTTTCTTTCTTTCTTTCTTTCTTTCTTTCTTTCTGTTTATTCCTCGTTTTCTTGTTCTTCTCCTTTTCCATTCTTTCTTTTTTCTTTCTTTCTTTCTTTTTCTGTTTTTGCTTGATTTTTCTTCTCCCTTTTTCACTCTTTCTTTTTGTCTCTTTCTTTCTTTCGAAAGTTATATTTCTATGTTTTTGCATTATTTATTCCATAACGCTACACCTTCTTACTTAGCAGCTTCTTTTAACCGTATCTTTTGTTGTTCGTTGCTTGTTTTTATTCTTTTTTTATTCGCATTTTATTGTTAGCACTGACGTAAAATCTACTTCTTTTTTCTTCTACAGCAAATGACATTAATGATAATTTTTTAAAAATTAGCAATTTAAAAAAAAGATATGGAGGGTAGAGATAGACGCCTGAACAAAAAGGAAAAAAATTGAAAAAAAAAAGATTGGAAGAAAAATAAAAATATTTTATAATATTTTTTTTAGATGCATCTAAAATAATTTTTTATATGGAATCAAGCAGGTAATGCAGTCAAGGAAAAGAAAGAAAATAATTTATATTACGAAGAATAAAAAAAGAAATCGAATTAGTGCAAGAGAAAAAGAAATGAAAAGAATAAAATGGAAAAGCTATAAAGAATATTAAACTACAATTGATATTTTAAATCATTTCACCCCAAGTAAGGCAAAAATGCCACTAGGACGCGGGCTGGGGTAGTGAGGAGGAATTAGGAAAAACGCAATAAAGAAACAGTGTTCAGAAAGACAGAAGATGGCGATGGATGTTGTATTTAATTTATTGAAGACTGTGGGGATACAGACAAAAAAATAAAAAAACGGGAAGAGAGTTCCACACGCGAGAACTGCGAGAAAAGAAACTTCGTAGAATAGATGAGACGGTTGTATTCTCGCTACTTCAATGCTAAAACGGCTAAAACTAGTTGCCAATGTAGTAGCACACTTAAAGAACTAAAGAGATCAGCTCATCAGAACAATTGCTATGAAAATATTTGTGAAAAAGACAGAGAGAAGCCACGTCAGAACTGTGAGAAAGTGCCTGTTGATTGTAGGAGGTTGTTTACTGTATTCAATACAATTCTGAGGCGCATACAAATAATAATAATAATAATAATAATAATAATAATAATAATAATAATAATAAAATCTAATCGCCCAGACATCGTTATTACAGACCACAAAAAAAAAAAAAATGCCTCCTTATTGATATGGCAGTCCCTGCCGACTGCAATGTATCTTTGAATATACTGAAAAAGCTGTCAAAATACAAGGACCTTGAAACTGAAATCTTAAAAATGTGACACATGAGAACATCAAAAATTCCTGTTGAAGTTGGGGCCCTCGGGTTGATTAGAAAAAAATCCAATAGACTGATTGAAGAGATTCTTGGTAGCCAATGCCTTAAAGAAATACTAAAATTGTTTTCACAAGTACAGCTCACATCTTACTAAGGGCTTTATCTATGTAAAATATGTGCGTGTATTTTTTTACATTACTAAGTGGAAAAATGTCATGATGTCATTTCTGTCCTTAGGTCTCTGGTCGGGACCCGGAAAAAATGAATAAACACCAGAAATCAAAGGATATAATAATGATAATAATAATAATAATAATAATAATAATAATAATAATAATGATAATATGGAAATGTCAAAAAATGTGGAACATGAGGTCATCAATAATTCCAGTTGTCGTTGGAGTCCTCGGATTGATTGGAAAAGATTCCAAGAGACTCACTGAATAGGAGACCTGGTAGCCCATGCCTTAAAGTAATACAAAAATTGTTCTCACGAGTACAGCCCACATCCTTACGAAGGGCTTTATCTATGTAAAATATGTGTGTGTTATTTTTAAATTACTAAGTGGAAAATGTCATGATGCCATTTTTGACCTTAGGTCTCTGGTCGGGACCCGGAAAAATGAATAAACCCCAGAAATCATAGGAAATAATAATAATAATAATAATAATAATACAGAGTAAAATGGAAACTTCTTCAGCAATAAGAGCAAATCTAGAATGACAATAGATATTTACAAATTGCATGCATCCTCCTAACGATACGCATTTTTTAGGGATGAATAATAATGTAATGGTATCAAATCCAGCCTATTGTCCTTATCTTTGTTACCATATTTATTACAACGTTTCGGTCGTTGTACGCTCCGGCCGTCTTCAGGTGTTTGAAATGTCGAACTGAACCTTTTATTTCGCTCACTGGTGTAGACTGTTCTTGTTCCACGTGCCATGTTTAATGGGTGTCATTTATCAGTTATCTCCTGTTAATTTCCCTCTGAAAGTTCTCCACTGCCTTAGAGGACCCAAAGAGTGTGAGATCAATAACCGGCTAAAACTGAACTTGGGCAACCCGGCGTGGTGTAATGATTAACAAGTTTGTCTCACTAGATCTGCTACCCCTATTTCCGGCCTTGTGTCACATCTAAGCTTCGCTTGGAAAATCAATTAGGGCGCCTCGGCGGTATGTAATGGTTAGTAAACTTGTCTTGCTAGAACAATTACGACTGAATAGTGAGTTCGATCCTCACTGTGTGCCCCATAATTTCGTCTTTGTGCCACATCTGAGCTATGCTTCGAAAATCAATTAGGGCCCCTCGATGTGGTGTAATGGTTATCAAGCTTGCTTGCTAGAATAATTACGACTGAGTAGTGAGTTCGATCCTCATTGGGTGCCCCATACTTTCGGCTTTGTGCCACATCTAATCCGGGCTTAGAAAATCACTATATTTTGCCTGAACTTTTTATAAAATCTAAAGTATGTAAAGTCAGCACATGTAACGAGGTTGACTGATAAACATTTGAAAGCATTTCTCTTGGTTGGATGCAACAATACCAAAATAATTATCAATTATATCTTAAAAAGGTAAACGCCAGTTTCACAAATCTCTCTGAAGTTTTGTGCTGCTTAGTTTGTGAGATTCGGATAGGTGCGTACTTGGTGTGATATAAGTATTTTATGGCTATTGTCGCCTTCTTGGATAACTTTTTTAGTAAATAAGTATGCTTGTTGTGCATTCAGTGTATTGTATTGAAGAAAATGGTTACCTGGCCCATGGATCGCCATTCTCTCATTTATCTGCCCCACTGTGAAAAAAGTTTAGTGACCCTGCCATAGAACATGGTGCCAAATGCAACATCTTTTAGTGACTATTGTTAATATAAGACCAAGATGTGCATGAACCTCGAATAAAAAATCTTTTTTCTCGTATATCCATTATAGGGAGCATGAGGTTATTAAACATAACGTCATTCTGTGAGCATAATACAGAAATATAGCAGTAGTAGTAGTAGTAAGGATCAGTTTATCTCGTTTGAGAATGTTAATGCTCTCTTTGGTGAAACATTCCGTCCTATTGTCAGCAAAGTCTGGAATGTTGTAACAGAACAATCTTTGCATCGCACTCTCTTCTGCAGTTGAAGCTTGAATATGGAGTGAAGGTCTGAAATTGCTCTCTCGTTGTATTCTGATCTCCAGCAGTTGGTTTCGCCTTTTCCCCTGCCTTTGGGACTCTTCCTTGAACAATATGGCGCCAACCGCTACGATCGTCTGCTCGCTGTTCCCGACTACCAGAGTTGATGTCAATGAGTTTCAGGTCCCTCTTTTAAACATCTTTGGAATGTAGTGTGGAGCGGTCTAACAGATGGCGTCCCAATGCCAATTCGCCTTCCATGATGTCTTTTGGTAGACGGCTGTCATTCATTCGATTTTTATGAACCAGCCATCGAAGGAAAAGATGCAGGCTCCAGTTGTCTGCTTGATTCAGCATAATAATGTATACAAAAAAGTTATAAAGTATCATTTTTTATCGAATATCAATTATGAACCATATGATGATATTAAAGAAAATGTTGCCCAAAAGATAACACAGAACAATTATGCGTACGTACTAAGTTAGATACATATTTTCATTCAGTGTTTCTGATAATAAATATCATAGTATGAAATCGAATATCATTTAATTAAGATCTTTAATATAGCACGACATAAACTAATTTTTTGAACGTGTTTTTCGGGGTTGCATATAAATTTTGGACTCGATGAAGAAATGGAGAGAGCTTTCCTTTCTATCGAATATGTCTAGCCCCTATATATTTGTCCTTTTTGAAGCGTGGGTTAAAAAATGAGCTTCGGCTTTAGGGCTTCCAGGAAAGCTCATGTCAAAACGGTTTAATGAATTTAATCATGTTACTGATTTGGGGGCGCTGTCAGGAGAGCTCATATCAAAACGGTTTAATGAATTTAATCGTGTTACTGATTTGTGGGGGCGCTTTCAGGAGAGCTCATATCAAAAACGGTTTAATGAATTTAATCATGTTACTGATTTGGGGGACGCTTTCAGAAGAGCTCATATCAAAATCGTTTAATGAATTTAATCATGTTACTGATTTGGGGGGCGCTTTCAGGAGAGCTCATATCAAAATTGTTTAATGAATTTAATCATGTTACTGATTTGGGGGGCGCTTTCAGGAGAGCTCATATCAAAAAGGTTTAATGAATTTAATTATGTTACTGATTTGGGGGGCGCTTTCAGGAGAGCTCATGTCAATACCGTTTAATGAATTCAAAAATGTTACTGCTTTTTTGCACGACGAGACCGTTTTGGTAGTTCAAAAGTATCTTTTGTGGGAAATTGAGATCCTACCTGTTTAAATCGGAACCTGTTTTGCTTAGCTTAAGTAAACACTGAAATGATGAATGATTTTCGTTGAAGCCAGATGCTGAGGCCATAAAACTGATCTGTGACATGGGAATGGCGGTGTACCAATCATCAAAATCAATTCCTTTTGTTTTACACATCTTCGAAGACACTTATTTCGATTTTATGCCTACTTAACAACCATTAGAATCTTGTACGGCACATTGTATATCGTCATGTCATAAAGATGTAAAGAGGGCGTTCACATAAGAGCGAGGATGATTGTGTGTAAGAGAGAGAGAGAGAATGTGTAGGTTATAGAGAGAATGAGAGGAAATAGTGACAGAGAATGAGAGTGCGATTGATAGGGGAACAAACAGAATAAGAGAGAGAGAGAAAGAATAAGCGAGAATTACAGAATGTGTTTGGGAGAGAGGGGGATGGTGTAAGAGATTTAAAGTACAGATAATGAATGACAATAAAGAATCTTATGAAAAACAAAAAAGAGGGTTAAGTGAGAAAGAAAGAGAGGAAAGAGAGAGAAACGGCGTATGTGTGTGAGCATATTAAAGGAAGAAGTAGAGAGAGTAAGACTATAAGTGTAAGAGAGAGGGAGAGGAAAAGTATAAGAGAGAGAATAACAAAGAGGAAGAAAGATGAGAAATAGAAGCAGAGAGAAAGTCTGTACACTGGAGGCTTGAAAATCTAAGTTAAAAATTAAATGTATTACAAACAGACAGAGAGACAGGATGGGAAAAGAGTATATATATATATATATATATATATATATATATATATATAAAGAAATATAGTCTTAAGGTGTGCTATATTTATGGAATAAAGTGCTCAATATCAGAGACAGAGCGTGTGTAAATATAAAAGTGAACATAGAAGTCAACACTTAGAGGCGACAGTCTGTTTCATGCTATATGTAATCGTCAGGCCACATATGCTGCTATTTTTCTCGGCTATTTATATATATATATATATATATATATATATATATATACGGGTTAGTGGTGCATTGTGGGTATTCTATTATGGCGGTTATTTTACCGGAAGTCGTTTGTTTATTTATTTAGGTCCAATTATATTTATTTCTTATTTTATTTATTTATTTATTAACGTAGTAAAAGTTTGTTTATATCACTTATTTAACAGTTTTGTTTTGGTTTGAGAATTTAATTAAAGTTATTTGTTCAATTTTGGGGTTGGTTGTTGTAGTTCATTCTAACTATTATTTTGGCAGGAACAGTTTTTAATTTGGGATTGGTTTGTCTATTTATTTACTTGGATGAATTTAGGTCAATTTATTTTACTTGTATATTTTCTCTTTTTCGGTTTTTCGGTTTTTAAGCAACATAAGTATTTATATATATATATATATATATATATATATATATATATATATATATATATATATATATATAAGGGGTTCTCCTGTCGTTTTTCGACGTATGAGTATCTTTCAGTTCAGTTTTTATGTTCATGTCTCGCATGAGACAACAATCCTGAACGCAGAACAGAACTATAAACTAATCACACAAAAGATTTGTTTAGAGCGGTAAAGGCTTGTTTGCAACCAACCACTCTTTTTGAAGTGCCGAATACAGAGAAGCAGTACACCGTGTGTCAGTAGGTTCCCAAATGGCCTTCCGCAGGTTTTGACTTCAGAGTTGTCCTTCTCCTAGACCAGTTGCCATCCAAGGCTGTAGAACTCAGTCTGTCCTGCTATTTAGCCATAGGTGAGGGAGAAGGGGATCGGTATTATCACGTAAGTGAATCTAATGGATTAGACTACCATAAAATATGATTTTAGAAATTTTTATATAGTAGAAATATGAAATGGACAAAGTCCGACAATTATTTAAGACATTTTTATGTTTATACATTGTTTTTATAGATACAAATATTTAAGTAAATGCTCTGTTTTATAATAAACAGTATTAATAACATTTATCGGCCTGAATGTCCGAGAACTTTTCATAGAAAGTATTTGTCCCGAAACTGTATCCTATATGGAACCGTCATATAGCCTGACGTGCTTTAACGGATTTGTCCACAGAGGATCATTCGGTTAGCAAGGTCGATTTCATGGAAGATTGTAGTTTTAAAGCAGTAAAATCGACCTTGCTGAACGAAGGATCGTCTGTGGCCCAATCGTTTAAGGCACGTCAGGCTATATGACGGTTCCGTATAAAATACAGGTTCAATTCCTGTCGGAGGACGAATATTTTCCATGAAAATTTCTTGGACATTCAGGTCGGTAAATGTCCTTAATACTGTTTATTATAAACAGCGCATTCACTTAAATATTTGTATCTATAAAAAGAATGTATAAACATAAAAATGTCTTAAATACTAGAAATAGTCAGGAAAATTAATGGCAAACATTGAAAATAATTTTCTGTGACAGGTTTCTTAATTGAGGACATCATCCGTCTAAACTGAGCTTTTCATTGATGTAACTAAACATACGCAAGAAGGCGAGAGGAAAATGACATTTTAAACTTTTTAATTTGTTTTTTTTTTTTTTTGAAAAAAAAAACAACAACTAATAATTAATAAAATGAAAATAATAATTAGTAACAAAATGAAAAAAAATTACACAAACAAAATAAAAATATACTTAACGAAATTGGCTAGACTATACAATCAAATACATCTAAAAATATGAAATCTAAATGCTTAAAATTTTAACGTCACTGCCATTCGTGCGCATGCGTAGCTATATTAACGGAGACATCACTTTAGTCCGTTGAAGTCATAAAGGACGAATCGCGTATCGTAAAAAAAAAAAAATCCCCCTTTTGTCATTAATACATCTATCTATATCTCTGAGATGAGGTATTATGATTACATAATTTATTTACATTATTCGTACTGTTATCATCATCTTCATTGCTATATTCACAAAGTTTCGGCCGTTGTATACTCCGGCCTTCTTAAGGTGACTTTATATTTGAGATGAGGAATTATGATTAGTTACATTATTTACATTATTCGGACTGTTATCCTCATCTTCATTGCCATATTCACAACACTTCGGCCGTTGTACGCTCCGGCCTTTATGTCTATGTCTATCTATATCTCTGTCTATATCTCTGAGATGAGGTATTATGATTAATTGCATTATTTACATTATTCGGACTGTTATCCTCATCTTCATTACCATATTCACAACGTTTCGGCCGTTGTACGCTCCGGCCTTTATGTCTATGTCTCTCTATATCTCTTAGATGAGGTATTATGATTACTCGCATTATTTACATTATTCGGACTGTTATCCTCATCTTCATTGCCATATTCACAACACTTCGGCCGTTGTACGCTCCAGCCTTCTTCAGGTGATTGAAATTTCGAACCGAACCCTTCATTTCGTCCTCCAGGGTACATTGTTCTCGTTCCACGTGCCATGTCTCTTCCGAATGTCCCAGTTATTTCCCTTTAACTTAACTCTCTCTGGACGCATGGGCCACTGGATAAAGACGTTGGTTAAATGCAATGACTAGACCCAAAGAGTTATGATTTAAGTCACAGCAGTGGTAACCAAAAAACATGAAGAGTTGAGCTTAAGAGAAAAAATTGAGACATTCAGAAAAATTTATATTAAACATTATCATCTTTACGAAACCCCCCAAGATAACACTTTCAAAGTAAAGCAAAATAACAGCGTCTGTTTCTAGCCTTTTTTTTTACAAAGAAAATTACTGACATCTTCTCTCATAACTTCCTTCCCTCTTTTTCTCTCTATGGGTTTTTTCTTCTCTACCCCTTCGATATCAATATATAACTTCCGTTAAGTTAACCGTTTAAATGTGTCAATATCTGGTAACTCATTCATGTCTTCTCTCTCCCCACTCACTTCCTCACCTCGTTAATTTACATATGTGTAATACGGCCCGTCAAAAATGTGTAAATTTTTTTTTCATTTTTTGTTTGGAAGTAAAGTCTGATGATCCGCAGTCCTTTTAAAAGGACTGTGGTGAAATAATGTATTACATGGAAACTTAAAGTGGTCTGTTTTTATTTTAAATATATATATATATAAATATAAAAGTGAACATAAAGTCAACACTTAGAGGCGACATGTGGCCTGACGATTGCATATAGCATGAAACAGACTGTCGCCTCTAAGTGTTGACTTCTATGTTCACTTTTATATTTACACACACTCTATCTCTGATATTGAGCACTTTATCCCATAAATATAGCACACCTTAAGACTATATTTCTTTATATATATATATATATATATATATATATATATATATATATATGAAACTAAATTTTATTAAATGCTGATATTTTTGTCATTATCAAGAACTTAATGCTGTTATTTGGTTACGTCCTGGCATTTTAGTTAAAATTCAGCTCTTCAGTTTAAATGTACGTGTATTGTATAACTTTGGTCACGTGTAGAAACATTTCACATAGATTGACGACATCTACAACCAGTACATAGATGGTTTAAACGCATTTTAAATATTTTTAGACGTTCTTTCCGCATTTGATTTAATTGGGGCTATTCAAATGAATTCTTGCTGACTAAACATGAGTTATATTTTAACTTGTGTCAGTATAACCCATCTTCAGTATCTTACATTTCATGTGTCCTGATACAAAGTGTTGATTATTAATGTTATGATCGTTTTGCATATATATGAAGACTTTCATAAATCAATTAACTGATAGGTATATTCAACAGATCGATGGATTAATATAGAATAAGTAGTTTGTGGTTTGGGTTAAAAAGATTAGATCTTTCAGCAACTGAAGTGCTTTACTTGCCCGCGGGGAAATTTTCTTGCAGGCTCAGCAAATCATGAAACCTCTTTTCTTATATTTCAATCAGACTTGATGCAGTCAGATTTTGAACAAATCTACTCTGAGTAAGCAGGTACCTAGTTTCTATATATAAATTCGAACAACGCATAGATTTTATAAGCAATTTTTTTTCATTCTATTGGCGTGCAACGAGCATTATCTGATAATCGAAAGGAAGTACAATATTTGTTTTGTTGTGTTTTACGGCATATCAACACCACAATAGGTTATTTAATGTCGACAACTTTTTATTTTTCTGGTAATATTTTGTTTTGTCAAAAATCTATTTCTGGTAATATTTTTTCCTCAAAAACGTATTGCTGGTAATAGTTTTTTCTCAATAATATATTGCTGGTAATAGTTTTTTTTCTTCAAAAATTTATTTCTGGTAATAATTTTTTACAAATTATTTCTGATATTAAAACCTATTTTTACACTTTTATAATGCTTTTTACCTCAGTTTGGGGTTTAACTATTTGCCCATAGCTGGGACCCTAACAGGTGCTACCACCCCGGGTCACGGTGGACCTGGGAAAACCAGCAATTACGAGGTGTTTCCATGCTCCTCAAAACCTCCTGATCAGAGGCCTTGCTGCTGGATGTAGTTTATCGTCTTACCCAGGACGAGTACAATATTTGAAGTAAATGAATGGATACATTGGGGTTCACCCTTCAGCCCAATTTCAGAGAACTTCTTTTCTTGAATATCATCTCTGTTTTTCTTTTATTTTTCCAAGTTTTTCATTCACTGAATTTTGTAGGAGTTCCCACTGTTTCCTTTCTGTGTTTGCTATCAACACTGTGTCATTTGAATATCAAATTTTGTTAAGATTGATGCCACCACTGAGGAATCCAGCTAGGATGTCTAATTCTCTCAG